CTCCGAGATAAAGAATTATAAAGCAGGAAGAGTTTTGTTACAACAACAGAGGAGCAGCCACCTCGTGTCCTCCACCTTTACTGAACACAGAGCACTTTAAATGTTTACGCTCTTAAAGTCAGTCTCAACATTCAACATTAATTCCAGCACTCTGCACTCCCCAGACCTGAGAGTGACAGTTTGTGTGTTTGTGTTTCTTTTGCTTTTTGTGCGAGTGAGGGACGTCTGTGTGTTTTGGGCTCAAGCTGTTTGTTTTGGTTTCTCTCTTTGTTCTCCCTCTCTCTCCTTGGGCGGAGTTTTGTGGGCCTCACTGTGGCTGGTGTTCTCCTCACATAATCGGCTAATTGGTGCACCTGCTTCGCTGCCCGTGATCAGCTCTCCCATAAGGCCTGTACCACGAGACAAGTTCAACACACCGGGGATATCTTTGCCTTATCTGGCTTCATTAACCCTGACGATTGGGATTGGGATAAGCGGTCCCACAAAGCTGGTTAACAACACGATAATGGTGCGTTCCATTTACCTCGGAAGTTGGAGGTCGGAGCTGGGAATGGCGTTACAGCCGAGTTGACGGCGTTCCAGTTAACAAGTCGGAAAACCTCGTTTGGCCAGCCACTGTTTACTAGCCAGGTTAGCAACTGATACGCCAGTTGATAAAAAAACGCATTGTGTGGTATTTACTCATACTAAACGCTGTAGCAACACGTCCACAGACAGCAGCTGGACAGCACTTTGTGTGAAGTGCTGATAAACAATATAAACTACAGCTTTCACTAACTGTTGATACTCAGAGCAGCCATCTTGGATCACAAAGTCGGGGGTGGAGCAGTTCCTCCGGCTTTCCAAGTCAGAAATCCCACTTAAGGGGGCGTTCCCTTTGAAATTTCCTACTTTTAACTCGGAAATTCGGACTTCCCGTGTCAAAAGGAACGCACCATAAGTCAACCCAGGGTTTCCTAATTCAGCTGTGAGCACATTCACATAACAGAGGCGGTTTTAGCTGCAGATGACCAATCACAGACATGAACAAGTCCTCTCTACCCCGGTGAACCTTCTGGTAAGCGGTGCTGAAAACCCAGGGTTAACCCCAAAGTTATCTGGATAAGCTCATATCCTGCTTCGTAGTAGAGGCCCCAGATCACCTGTTCTGTTCATACTCACTCTCATTGTAATCTCCTTCAAATTAAAAGCCTCCAGTTGTCTCCTCTCACTGTGACCATTTGGACTGAAGCTTTAGATTTGAAGCAGCAGCTGCAGAAATCAGCTCTACGATCTTTATGTGGACTGCATTCATGAATTAATGTCTGCTTTTGTTTTAGAACATTTGTCACCATCTTTATGGGATGATGTTCTGAAGGTTCTGGTTTATGTGCAGACAGACAGATGCAGTGAAACAGAAACTCACTCACTTTATGTCTCTTTAATATTTCTGACACAGTTCAGTTTTCCTCTCTGGATGTTTCCTGGTGTAACTCTCAGTTTGTGCTCTCAGCAGTGATGATGGAGCTCTTCTGTCATCCACAGGATATTTCTGTAAAGTGTTTCTACTTTTCTCCTCCTAGAGAAGAGAAGCTCCTGCGCTGCCCCCTGCTGGCTGTCTGACTGCATGTTCATATGGAGCTTTCACCCAGAGTGCTTTACAAAGTGCATCTCATCACCTGATTGGCTAAATGTTCATATCATCAGTCAGTGATTGGCTCAGCTGCTGCACTGACTGTTGACAGACAAGAACAAACAGGAAGCTGCTGCAGCATTTCTCCATCAACCAGAATGATTTATATTTAATGGATCCCACATGTTAGTGAGTGTGTTGCACATTTTAAACTAACAGTAAACACATGTCCTGCAGCAGCTGCACACAGACAATTTTAAATATTGGAGCTGCTGCAAGGACTGTAGACACACAACATATCATTAAATAAATCATGTACATGCAGAGGTTAATTCAACATGGATCATAAATTACAGGAAGAGGTTTTCAGGACCTGGACAGGGGAGCAGGAACAGAGCCTCAGAGAACGATGGAGGCCAGTTTGACGATACAGTTCTAAGGTGATTTACAGCAACTCTGACAAAACTCTGACTCAGGGATGACTAAGACAGAGGGGGTTCAGGTGGGGAGCGGAGAGGCGTCAAGAGCGAGAGGAGCGAGTTTTTAACAAGTTCATTTGGATGTAATGTTTTCCTGTCTGTGAAGGTTCTCAGTCATCCAGGTCACAGTTATCCAACAAAGGTTCAAATCAAGGGCAACTGGACTTGGTTGAAGATACTAGAAGACGTTTCGTCCCTCATCAAAGAGACTGAAAATGTTGCTGATAACATTCTTACAAAGCCCAGGAACTGAAATCGTTTCTGGTGCCCTAAAAATATGTATGTAAATAATGAAATGAAAATTGTAAACAGGCATTGACCAGGAGGCACGTGTTAGAAGGATGGCCTGTACTCTAACCAACGAGCTGGTGTCTCAGATGAACTGGGCAGGAAAGAAACTGAAAGATGCTGAAGAACAAAAGCCTGCATTCACAGACACCAGGCTCATGATGTGCATGCTTGGTGTGAATTACAGTCAGTAGACAGTGAAGAGAACAGAATCAGAATCAGCTTAAGAGCCAAGTGGTATACAAGGTATTTGATTTTGTGTTTTGGAGCATAAAATATTAGAAAGATAAAGAAAATGCTGTGGGTCAACCTGCTTGGATCCCGATCATAATTCAATTAAATTACACATAATTAGTCACATTTGCAAATATCACTCAGCTTCTGTCAATGGTAACTTGGTCTTGCCAACAGACAAACCAAAGCAAGACAATTTGCCAGCTTGACACTTTTAATAAACATTGTTTATTATTATATATTATTGGAGCATTGTGATTAAATATGATTTTACCCATTTTAAAAAGTAGCCCAACAAAAATCAGTGTTGATAATGTGGCAGGTCGCCACAAATAAATCAGTGTGTGGGAAACGCCTGCTGTAGAGGTCATCCAGCTTGACCATTGCCTTTATTAAGGCGAGGGTGTCAGCATCTGTGACTGAAGTAAAATCAATTAATGATTTTGCTGAAGGCTGCAGTACATAGTCTAACGTAAGGCTACATGCTGCAACATTATCCTCCCTATGATCACGGCACAAGACTAGTAACACAGCTCGCATGGGTCTCCGTTATTGCTGACAGTTTAAGAATCAGAACCAGAATCAGAAATACTGTGTTTAAAATATGCATATTAGCAAGTTATGACATAAGAGAGAGAAGAATTAGGCTAATAGCCGATGGTAACTTACATGGTAACATCCTTTATCCGTCATGGTCGGTGATTTCTTTTTTTAAATTTATTATAGAAAACACTTATAGCTTATTTCAACAATCCGAAACATAAAACGGTGTTGAAACAGCAAAGCCAAAAGAAACCAAACCAAAAGGAAGAAGGTAGGCTAATTGTGAGTCTCATTCAGGTATCATAATGTGCGTCTGTAGAAGAAGGATTTTGCTAAATGTGGTTGATTGATTTTATCGTTTGAATTGGAGAACGTGCGTCGCTTTAAATGTTCCCGCCGCTGTGGGACGGCATTCTCTCCTTTCCTTTCATAAAGGATGGTCCGGTGTGCCCTATGCTAAAGGAGATATGAAAGGAAGCATTGAAGCATCCTTAGCTTTTAGAGAATTCAACAAGCTCTCATCATGGCTGCCACGGAAATACTTCTGGTTCACTTCACTCAGTTAGGAACTAACCAAAAAACACTTTTCGGACGAAGCCCAAGACTGATTCTGACTTTATAGATAAAACAAATTGAGTTTTATTTATTTAGATTTAATTTTAGTTACTGCACATGCAACAGATACTGATGTACAAATGCATATTATACTGCACAGTTATGACACAGCGACTGAACATAAGTAAACTCGTGATATTACAAGACGCACATCTTCTGTGTAGCTGGACCATTGGTTTTATTACAAAGTGAGTGTTTCCTGTTTCTCTGCTGCTAGCACCACAGGTTTTCTTCCTCCCACCTTACATCTCACACTTTTTACCACAATGCAGCCTTTTGCAAGCAACCCCAGTGCGGGACAGAAACCAGTTTCAACAAGTTATAAAGGTATCAGGAAGTCTGGTGTCAGTAATCCAAGCAGTAAAATCAGTCGTAGTTTCAGCAATGGCAGTAACATTTAATAGTTTAATGTTGATAAAAGTAGCTGCTGTAATAGCAATGTTAGCAGTGTAGCACCCCCAAAAAAGACCAGAACGACAGGAGCTTTCGGGCTCTTTGGGTTTACCTGTTGATAGTGAAGTTATAACCTGCTTACAGAAATAGCTACACAGTTTAAATTTAGGTTTTTCACTATACCGTTTTATTTTTAAACAACTGACCCCCAAACAACAATGTAAATGAAGATAATTATTATTTATTGACCGCTTTGTTTTGGTTGACAAAGAGAAGTCTGCCTGATAAAGAGCGAAAGTAAAACCGGATCCTCCAGGTTCAGTTCCAGAAGTACAAAAACTTTATTTAAAATCCTTTTCCCATTTGTAACTACGCAAAGACTCACTGCTGTGTGGCTGACTCACCTGGAGTCGTACAGACTTGCTAACCTCCATATTTCCCGTTTGCTGAAGAATACTGAAGAGACTGAGTTGAAGCTTTGGGGCTCATCAGATTCATTTATGTATCAGAGTCAAACAGTAAACTGAGTACTTGTTAACTTGTGGAGACTCGCTTCTCACATTTGATTGATAGCTTAGATAACCTTTAGTGCCTGTTAGTGAAAAATTGTAGTTTTGCTTTTTGATTTAAATACTTTTGTCTCCAGGTGATTTCTTATTTTTGCTACTGTCATGATGCAACACAGCATGCAACAACCAATCCTAAAATCCTCAATAGGCTGGACTATATATATCTCCATCTCAAGATATCTGATTTCAGCAGCTGATATAGTGAGTACATTTTTATACAGTGGTGAAAGCTGGTTTGGTGACATAAAAGCAGAGGTGAGAGTTAGTGTCAGACTCAGAGTGCAAGCCTGTGGTCGTTTCCTGGAACCAGTGCACACTAGTGTAGACACCAAACTCAAAAAAAGTAACTCGTGTTGAACATCTGACTCTTTTTCATTTAACACTGAATTGTTTCTTTACAAGAAAAGGTGAGTGAATGATGAGAGAAACTCTAAAGCTGCTAAAAAGAACCGGAGTCGATTTCTTTTGATAAAAATCTTTACTGTTGTTCCTTCATGCAGCTGTCTGTTCTTTTATTCTGAAGTGTCAGAACTTGAAGCCACGTTTAATGAAACAGGATGTGAGTTTTGTGTTGTCACTTGAAAAGCAGCGAAAAGCAAGATAATGACACAAAACTTTTAAAATGAGAATACATTAAATAAATGCTAATAGATGATGAATGCCAGAATGTTTTTTAAAAAAAGTTTTTTTACTCCACTGTTTGCTGTTCTCACATCTCCCCCACCCTACCTGTGGTTTGTTCAAGAGGATGTTGTCGCCACATGGTCAGTGAATCTTTAGCCTGCAGGCACCATGAAAGTGACTCACCTTTTACTCTGTAAGTACAGAAAACTTGTTACCATAAATAATACTCAGTTTAAGTCAAACCAACAGTTAAAAAGAGATGTGTTTTCATTTAGCTTTGGTGGATTACTTTACAGAAAAGACGCTGAATTGTTTAATCGTTACCAAATGTTTTAATGACAGTTTGTGAAGCTGAATCTTTAAGTGTGTATGTAGCTGTGTAATGTATGTTCCTGCGCGCACACACAGTGATCTGACAGTGACTGTTGTTGCAGTGTTGTTGAGCGTCTGCCGGACGTCTGCCAGCACTCGTGGTGAGTTTCAAACCTGATGTGTGTGTGTGTGATACATTATTTAAAGCATTTAGAAGCGGACTTTGTAATAATTTTATATATATTCTGTATACGCTGTAAAATCTCAGATGATCTTTCATGTGTGTTTGCTGCCCACCACTAACCGTAACAAACCTAACCTAATTACTAACCAAGTACTCATTTTAACCCAAACCATGTTGTTTCCCTGACCCTACAGATTTGTAACAGTTCAGTTAAGACAAATGATGTCGTCCTGCTGATCATTGCGTCAGATCAGAATATATATCCATCTTTGTGATGTTGCAGAGGACTTAATCTTGTTTAATGTGGAGGACTTGCACATGACTAGAAGTCCAACCTTAGCTTTACATTTTAAATTTATTCATTTAGCTGACGCTTTTATCCAAAGCGACTTACAATTGCTATACATGTCAGAGGTCGCAAGCTTGCAGCTTTAAAATGACCAGCCACAGGGGAATGCGCTGCACAGAAATTGAACACTGAAATTCTCAAATGCCTACAATAAAAAGAAAAAGATGTATGTATAAATAAAAACAATGAAAAATACAATAAATAGATATAAAATAAGCTTCAAATATAAAAAGTGTAGACGTAAAAAGAAAAAATTAACAAATATATACACTGCATCGTTGTGCAGGCAGACGAATTAAACAGTTGTGCAACTGATAAATTATATGCATGTGGAAACTGTGAGATTAAATCATAGCTTAACCGGTGATCAAAAACATGTTAGGTTCTCCAGTCAGTGCCACTGACCTGTGAGTTGGTCCCCAGGTGCTGCACAATGGCTGCCCACTGCTCCATTGAGGGATGGGTTAAATGCAGACAATGAATTTCTCTACATGTATGTGACAATAAAGTTCCCTTACAGCGCAACTTCTCGTATATGAAAACGTGATCCTAACAGTGACAGTGCACAATGACATATGCGAAAAAGATGAGGATCAACGACAAAATATTTCACGTCTGCTCTTAGGCATTATGAACACAAAACACAAATGTGTGGATTGATTACTAGTTGCATGACACATTTAGTGTTTGGTCAAATAAATAATACATTTTACTCACATTATAGACGCACTCTCTTGAGCTTTTTGCTGTATAAAGTAATTTATTAAATCCGGCTGGTCCCAGCACTGACCATCTATCCACGGCTCGTGGTGTCCACGTCAGCACTGCATGCTGCTGTCACATTCCCATCACCTCTTTCTGGGGCCGCTTCCATTACTTTTCCATTGTCAACACCACCCATCTCTCGTACGCTGCATCTCTGTCCTCTCCACGCTTGCCGCAGAATCCCAATCTTCTGTGCTCTTTTTTTCTTCTGCACACTTTTACAGCCTGTGGGCCTGCCTTTTGACCACTGATTGGTGTAGGTAATAATAATAATAATAATATAATAATAGTAATCTTTATTTATAAAGCACTTTTCAAAAACAAGTTACAAAGTGCTGTAACAAGTGCAAAGACAATAAAATCCATAAAAACAAATATATGATAAAAGCAAGAAAACACTTAAGAGACTAAAAGACATGTTTAAAATAAATATAATATATATAAAATAAAGTCACCAGTAATGGGTCATCATCTCAGTGGCCACTAAAGCCGTCATTCTCAAGAGTCCATCTACACAAGTGTAGGTAATCTAAAATCATGTCAGCCCAGGAGGAGACGCACACACACAAGTCCAATATGAAATCAAATTAAACTCACAGCAATAATTAAACACCCCAAACCCATCTAATAAAATCATCTATTAAACAAACATAAAAACATGCATAAACACCATAGCTTGCTGCTATCCCGTCTTTATTTTTAAGAAAGATTGATATTTTGGGCTGCTTTGTTTTTTCTTGCTCAACTGCTTCTTTAAAGTTTATGTTGTTATATATCTTGATGAACTGATGAGAATGACAGGCAGGTGTGTCAGCAGGTGGGCTTGATTGCGTGAACCCCAGGTGGATGTGGCAGTCAGGTGGCCGGGGTTAAGGTTGGGTTGACGGGAAGTTCTGATGGCAACCAAATAAAAACAACTGATGTTCATGTCTCTGTTCCTGTTTCTGCTCTTTGTTTGCTGAACCTGTCGACTTCTTTGTTACTGACTGTAACTTTCTGATCAGTCTGTAAGTCATGGATCAGCTGACCCTCTGTGGTGGAAAGTACATTACCTCTAGTGCTGTGCTTAAAGGGCCAGTGTGTTGGATTTAGTGGCATTTGTTGATAAAGATGCCCTCCTAGTCTCACCCTCCCCTTCCTAACGTGAGGGAGAACTACTTTTTCCACTGTTGTCATGTATATTTGTTGTCTATTGTGGAAATCACTTTGGTCAACTAGTGTTGTTTTTAAATGTGCTAAATAAATAAACTTGAACTTGATCTTGATGGTTGCAAAACTTGCAAAAAAGAAGAAAAGCCCTCTCTGTAGTCAGTCTTGAAGGTGGCGGTCTCACTAGTGACAGTGTGCAACCCGAAGAGTCTAGAAAACAGCCCGTCTAAAATTAAATATGCTATTTTTTTGTTTCTCTCTCCAGCCTCTTTGATGGTCACTCCCAGCTGGTCTCAGTATTTTGAGTATGAGACAGTCACTGTGAGCTGTGACAGCACCAGCTCTGGTGAATGGACGGTGTGGAGATACACGGCAGGGTCAGTCTAACATCACACAACAGAATCTCTTAAAGAAACTTTACTTTTCTATCCTATTACTGTGTACTTTCCATTCCTGATGATCACTGTGCAAATAATCTATTGTTTGTTAGGTTTGTTTGCTTGCTGGTAAGTCATGTCTGACAATTAAAGTCGAGGTTATCAGACATCAACTTAATGTGTTAAATCTCTCATCATCCCGTCTGATCTTTAGCTACTGAGCTAATGTGACATTAGCAAACGTTCATTTCACAGACTGACAAGCTGCTACTCAGCTCTGAATGTCTGAAGATCCTGATTCAAATGATAAACATATCGATGTGATCTTAAACGTAGAACTCGGGGATCCTGACTATTCTTTACCATCTTCTAACTGCAATGTACCAGGCTGGATTATGATGTGCCAGATTAGCATTAGCTGACTGGGCAATGATTTATTAACAGAGCCATTACAGTGTCACCTTTTCTGAACACCAATAGGAATCAAACGTTGATGCCGTGTGGATCGGACGGAAGCAGTCAGACTCCATCCTGCATAATGACCGTCAAACAGGTCGACAGTGGAGTGTACTGGTGTGAATCTAAACACAGAGACAGCAGCAACACAGTCAACATCACCGTCACAAGTAAGATGCATAAAACTACATATCAGTGTGCAGGTTGGAAAGGCCACACGAGTATTTCCTCTTCTTCTTCCTTCTTACTTTTTACATGCAACTACTCCAACCGCAGACTTGGCAACGCATCCAACATGACAAACGTGAAAATCACATCTTTCACACACGGAGAAGTTTGCCCTTAGAAAGTATTAAGACTTGGTTTGGTTTGGGGGGAAATAAAGGCAAAAAGACTTTCTGCCAGAAAGCCCTGAAGGCAAACGATGGCTCTTGTTGTTAGATAAAAGAAACTTTTACAACTTGTGAGGTCAACATGGGAAGAGTCCAAAACTGTCTCTGTGTGTGATTGACAGGTTACACTTCTGATTCACATTAATTGTTTTAAAAGGAACTGATAACTATAAAGGGAAATGAATCATTGTTTGTAAGAGAATGAGCTCCTTGGGCGCCCAACAACTGAGAAACTGCAGACACAATGATGAATCATGACTTATACTAAAGTATTAATTTGGAATTTTGGCAAATAATTAAATTAATAATTCTAACAAAATGACCATCGATAGATAGTGGGATGAAGGATTCAGAGTTCTCTGCAGCATTTTAATGGAAACCAGCATGTGTCTACACAAGCATTTGTTAGTTAAGTAAATTAAAACACACCAGATGCACTAAGCTAAGAGAACAAGAGGTGTGCATGTATAAGGCAGTGGGGTGACCACATGTGGTCAAAAAACAAAAGGTGTAAAAGAAACTTTAGGTTGCTTCCTGCATATCTGTGGTTGTATTTAGGCCAAATAGCATTTATGTGATCTGTGTAACAGTGCCGAGTTAAAAGGAGTTTGCATACAAAGACTGTGTCTGTGTGAAACATAATTTCTAACTGAATTAGCGGTGGCTAAGATGTGATCACAACAATAAAACTTACACATAATAAAAACCTCTCAGCTGAGGCCCAAGGTGCATGATATTATGAAAAGATTCAGGGAATTCAGAAACCACTTTTAAATGTGTGACCTTTGAGCCCTCAGGCGCGACTGCCTAAGAAACCATCGTGTTTCTATGACAAATATAGGCACGTGGGCTCGGGTATACTTCAGTAAACCATTGTCACTTCACACAGTGCACCGCTGAATCCCAAAAACGCAACCTGAAACTGCAGAAGGAGGAAGGCCATCTATCAATTGTATGCAGAGACGATGCAGATTTCTGTTCATCCCACATGGACCGGGCTACAACAGTGTGTCTTCCAAATGATTAGAAAGTGCTATTAAAAGAAAAGGTGATGTTTAACAATGGCAAACGTGCCTCTGTCCCAACTGTTGTTGAGTATTTTACAAGCATGAAATTTTAACTTTGTTTATATTTACAAAATACAATTACGCTGGTCAGTCAAACTATAGAAAATCTTTTCTTTGTACTTTTGTCAGTTAATAAAGGTTCACGTGATTTAACAAATCCTAGATTAAGGTTTTTAAAATATCAGTTCAACATACCCAGGATATCTTAAGTAAGTTAACCCGGGGTTTCCAAATCCAGACATGAGTGCGTTCACGTAGAAGAGACGATGTTAGCAGCAGATGACCGCAAACATGGACAAGTCTAGTCACAGAAGAGATTTTACAAACGAAGAGCAAACTGTAATATTAGACATATGGATACAGTCTAAGTTGGAAGCTGCAGCTAACAAGAAAGACAGTCCCAGGCGGCATGAATGCCTCAATTTACAGGCTTAGCCAATAATATGAATGCGTTTATATGATGTGTTCTTATGGTGGTGATGACAATTTTAGCCTTATTCTTTTAGCTCAGCTGTGTGCCAGCGTTTCCATATTAATTAAAAGCCTTAATGAATAAGTGTTCATTTCAACTCAGTTTAAAAACTTCTTGTCACTCATTGTTTTATTTAACACACAATGTTCCAAACATTGTTCTAAATTAACTTCTTAAACCAACAAAACAAAAGATCCATTCATGCTACAAGGTATGTATTTCAAAATTTAGGCTACTGAAAACTCTCCCACATTAACTACCCAGGTCTCCATTATACAAGATAGCTTCTAACCTACTTGATTTTCATCTGCATACCAAATTATATGTTCATAATATTCAGCCTTGAACTGAAAATGAAACCAATTTATTTTAAGGGCTGTGACAGGTTTTGTAAAACGGACCTGGGAGCAAGTAAAAGATATAAACACATTTCAAAATGGTGAGTAGGCTTACTCTTACGTCTTAAAAACCTACAGTAGGAAGAAGCCTACAAGGCTTCAGGAGCCTACTTCAATCAGTCTCTGTAGGATGATATTGCTAAACAAAAGTTTCTCCGCATCACCGCAGCAAATATAAAAGTAGCCTATAAAACTGTGGGATCTTCTACAGATGGTGATGTCATTTTCCAAGAGAGTTGATTGATCAGTAGGCAGTACGGCCGATCTACTTTTACAGAGTTGATCTCTTATCTGGAACATAACCTGCTCCAGAGCAGGCCGTTCAGCAAAAGTTACCATGGCGATCTAACCCGGTAAGAAATGAACCACCGTCGTGGCACTGAAAACCCTGTTAACCCCAAAGTTACCTCGATAAGTACAGGCTCCTGCTAATATTCAACCAGCCAACTTAGCAACCAAAATAACAAGTTGTCCACCTGTTGAATGTTATGTTGTTATTATAGGATTGTCTGTTTCGGGGAGTTCCAATATTGTGAAGCGGTCTGATGAGAGATTCTCATGTTGTTTGATGATCTAACTAGAACAGCATTCTCAACAACCTTGTAAAACACCTTAAAACACCCTTGCAATAATCTTAAATTGCAGTCGCAACCACCAAGTGACATTTGTTTTGATTTACACGTACATCCTTCAAAAGTTCAAAGCTTTTCTTAAAGTTTTTTTGTTATATTCATCCTCTAACATTCACTAGCTTTGGATCAAACTCTGTAGTTGTTGATGGAAAACGTTTTACTATCTCTTCCCATGTTCAGATAAAAAAAAAAGTTATCCTGCAGAGCAATTTTTTTCAGCTATGATAAACAAAACATTTTTACTAAAAACAATAGATACAAACTAGTACACGACACAATACAGGAGAGCTGATAACAACAATAAAAAGAAACAACATGATATGAGTATGAAAAAGAAAGGGATGTAAGGAAAAATCATTGCAATGAGACATAAATACTCAAAATAAGGTCAAAAACATAGAAAACTAAACAAACATTTACAAAATATAAAGGACATGCATTAGGAAAGAGCAATTCATTTGACATCAGGGGGTTTCATCAAATTTTTTTCATTAAGTATATTAGAAAGTACAGCCTCAAATTTGTGAGTTTTGTTAGCTCATATTTCATAAAAGAAACAAGAAAGCGCCTCAGCTTTAGATAAAAGCTATATAATGTTAAGTCCCGATGAAGCCAGAGGTTAAAGACATTCCTGCTTTTCTTAATACTTCCAGTAAAATTCAGTTTCTGTCTGGCCCAAATCCTCACATGCGGGCGGCTGTGGCTCAGGAGGTAGAGCGGGTTGGCCGTTAATTGGAAGGTCGGCGGTTCAATCCCTGGCTCCCCCTGGTTGCGTGTCGAAGTGTCCTTGGGCAAGATACTGAACCCCGATTTGTATGAGTGAGTGTGAATGTTAGTTTCCGTTGGAGCACTTAGGCTCAGTGTATGAATGTGTGTGACTGGTGAATGCAGATGTAGTGTAAAAGCGCTTTGAGTGGTCGAAAAGACTAGAAAGACGCTATACAAGTACGGAGCATTTACATGCCTGATGCCACATTTGTCTTGTCTGTGTCGAGGTGGACCAGTGATCCTGCAGAGTCCTGTCCTCCCTGTGAAGGAGGGAGATGATGTCACTCTGCACTGTAAAACAAAGACCACTTCATACAACCTCCCAGCTAGTTTCTATAAAGATGGCTCCCGTATTAGGACGTATCCTACAGGTCACATGACCATCCACAATTTTTCCAAGTCTGATGAAGGTGCCTACAAATGTAACATCCACAGTCAAGAGTCTCCATCTAGCTGGCTGCTGATCAAAGGTAAATATTTGTATCCCAAAATCCCACTTGACTCTGTGTTTTGACATTTTCAGTGCACTACACAATAAACATACTGAAATCTTCATGAGACTGTGTAAGATTATGTACTGAGAGCTGAATGTGTGGATTTCCAAATTAACTTCAATACAATTCAGTGTTTTCTTGGAGCAGCATCTAGTGGACACTAGAGGAACTGCAGCTGAACGCACTTTGACTTTAACTCTAAGTGAGAGTCTGTGTGTGTCCACAGATGATTCTAACCTGGCCTCTCTCACAGTGTTTGGCGACACGTCTCAGCTGTTTGAATATGAGAATTTGAATGTGAGCTGTGGCGACAACAGCAGCGTTCATGAATGGAAGGTCATGAGGAACACAACTCCTGAAGGTGGCAGGTTTTCCAGCTGTGGAGGTCTATGGGGGACTCTGACCCACTTTGGCTGCATCCTCTATACAGCCAAGCCCCTTGACAGCGCTATTTACTGGTGTGAGTCTCCTGCAAGACAGCGGAGCAACTCTGTCAACATCACTATACATGGTAGGAATGATAAAAAGAACCAAATAGAATTTTAACCCTTCCAAAATAATACAAACAAACATTCTCAGCTTTTTGGTTCCAATTATAGTTTCCTGAAAACAAACATCGCAAATTATGCCTATTAAGGTTGTATTAACAGGTATGGTGTTTGAAATATGGCAGACTAGAGCTGGTGCTTAAAAGTGTGCCGAAATCACTGCAGAACTCCACAAAAGTACACAGCACGAGAGGTTTTCATGTAAGAGAGGGTTACTTTGGTGATGTTTGCTTGAATCAGCAGTAAGGACCTGCACTCTATCTACCCGGGGTTGGGTTGCAACACCTCTCCATACATCCATCACTAATTTGGAACACAAAGTACTTCCTAGGTTCCCAGTAACTACTAGGTAGTTTCATCATTAAAGTTTAAAGTAACATCTAAAAATAGGTTGGTGAGAAACATATGTAGTGCTGTCCAATCAAGAGCAATGGACTATATAAGCAGGAAGTCATTGTAGCATCACAAACTAGCATAGCTTAAAACAATTATAGATTTAGAGATGCAAAAGGTTTTTTGCAAAAGGTTTTTTTTTTTGTAAACATAGGTATCGCACTCATGCCACAGCATCTCAATCAGGTTAAGGTCAGGACTTTTCTGTGCTTTGGGTTGTTGTCCTGTTGCATCACTCATCTTCTGCTGAGTTTCAATTGGCGGACAGATCGGCATAAATTGTCCTGCAAAATTGCTTGATAAAGTTTGGAATTGATTTTTACGTCAATAGTAACCCTTCCTGGCCCTGAGGCAGCCCCAAACCATGATTCCCCCTCCACCATACTTCAACGTTGGGATGAGGTTTTGATGTTCAACTCCACTTTGGTTTCACCTGTACACAGAATATTTTGCCAGTAGTGCTGTGGCACATCTAGGTGCCCTTTTGAAAACTTCAGATGGCCAGCTATGGGGTTTTTTGGACAGCAGTGGCTTCCTCCGTGGTATCCTCCCATGAACTCCATTCTTGTTTAGTGTTTTACATACTGTAGAGTTGTCAACAGATATGTTAGCATGTTCCAGAGATTTCTATAAGTCTTCAGCTGACACTCTAGGATTCTGTGCTGTGCTCGTCCAGTCATTTTTGCAGGAAGGCTAATCCTTGGGAAAATTCCTCTAGACCTTGTTCATGTCTGATCGGCAACTACAGGGAATGTTTGGGTGAGGTTACTGCTGTTTTAGTCAAGTTTCAGTCAACCAGTTATTAAATCAAAAGGTTCACATACTATTTTTCACCCTGCAATTTGAATTTTACAGTGTGCATAATAAAAACATGAAAACAAATAATTGTGTGGTATTAGTTTAAGCAGACTGTGTTTATTCAAGTCTATGCAGAAATCAAGGTTATTCCAAATTTTTCACATTTTCCTGAGACTGTATATATGTTTTTTTTTTCTTAGTCTTTTTTAAATTATATTTTTTCTCTGACATTTATCAAACATGTTTAGATTCACTGGTTGTACATATAAACACATTTTCTCATCTTTCTCCATGTTCAGATAAATGACTGATCCTGTTTGTATTATGTTTGTTGAGATGGACCAGTGATCCTGCAGAGTCCTGTCCTCCCTGTGATGGTGGGAGATAATGTCACTCTGCACTGTAAAACAAAGACCCCTACCGCCAACATCAAAGTTTTCTATAAAGATGGCTCCCTCATCAGGACTGAGCCTACAGGTCACATGACCATCCACCATGTTAACAAGTCTGATGAAGGCCTCTACAAGTGTAACATCAGCGGTCATGGAGAGTCTCCACCCAGCTGGCTGTTTGTCAGAGGTGAGAAAGCTGCTCAGTTGATATTTTGGTCAGTTGTAAATTTGGAGAAGCTCAGGAGGTTCAGTAGTTACACTTGAGGTTTTACACACAGAGGTGGTTACTGTTACAGATTTTAAGGAGAATAATGTTTATACTAAACATATCTCTTGCTGGTGACAATATCTGTCATTTTGCATCATTTAGTGCCACTTTCCTTCTGGGCTTTTCTCCTTTTAGAACCATCTTTTCCTTTTCTTGAGACTGCTGCTAATGGCCAAAACTTAATGAACTTTAGTGTGTACTAATTTACATTCATTATAATGTTAGCATATACAACCTTAAACTCCGTTACAAACTCACCCAGTGTGGTGTGAGGTTCATCTTAAAGCAGTGCAGGTGGTGACTGGCTGAGGGTGTTAGGTGCGCCTGAAGTTTTAGGGCTCTGGAAACAGAGAGCACAGTGACACCTGCTGGCTTGTAGAAATTGTTGCAGCTCATTTTGAAGCTCAGTTATTGACTATATTAAATCATAACACTGTTGTTCTGTATTTTTGGAAAATAAACTTTGGTGTGAGAGTTTAAATATAATTTGTTTTGCTGCCACAGTAGCTTGTTTAAAATTGAAGTGAAGCTTCATGTCTTTATGTGAACTTTTGGCCACAGATATCACCACACTGCAATAAACAATAGTAAATACATATAGATGAAAACAAACAGAGGCAGTGTGATGTATTACATTTGATTTGTTTTTTGTATAAATACAGTTTATACATTAAAGTGAAGAAACCACATCTCACAGTCAAAGCTGATACAGGATCCATCCACTTTTCCTTTAATGTTCAGAGCCAAGTGTTGCTGAACCGAGTTTCATAGCGTGGCGGTAAATGTGGTTTAGTGAGCATAACATTTTAGACGTTCACCTGACCAGGTGTGTTTGTTTTTCTAGATCGCGATGGAAAAGCTTCATATACTGCAGATCCAACCCAGACAACTGTGCTGAACGCGATCCGCCACCTGGTGGTCTTCTCACCATACTGCGTAGCCACTGTTCTCATGTTGTCTTTATATCGACAAAGGCTCACAGGTAACACTGACCTTCTAATAAGTACAGCACTGCTAGCAGCTAAATGTTAACAACATTATAGTGTTTACTATCTCAGTTTAGCATGTTAGCAAGCTAACATTTGCTAAATCAAGCGTAACATTAGTTCAGGCTCACAATCCCAGCACATCAGCCTATAGCAGTCATCTTAAAGTAGGGGTGTACTCTCTTTTGTTGCCAGCGGTTTAGACATTAACGGCTGTGTGATGTGTCATTTTGAGGGGACAGCAAATTTACACTGTTATCCAAGCTGTACACTCACTACTTTACATCGCAGCAAAGTTTCAGTTCTTCAGTGTTGTCATATGAAAAGATATAATCCAATATTTGCAGAAATGTGAGGGGTGTACTCACTTTTGTGAGATACCATATGATTCAAGTGGCCTCACAGCATGTAATTTAGTGTCCTGGCTTTACTAAGTGTTCAGCTGGGTCTTCCTGCTGGCGCGTCCATGTAAGCACATACCAGAGAGCTTACAAACAACCGTTGCAGTTGTTTTGGGGTCTTTGCTATTACTCTCTGCCTCAGGCTTTCCGTGTATGCACATGGATGGGCAGGGAGGCATGGCTTTCCATGAAGAGGCGTAGAAGGGCAGGGAACTGTATTTTAACTTTATAAATGTTCAACTGTGTTGCTTTTTACTAATTTGTACTAATATGCATCATGTAAATCTGTAACTTCTTATGTTATTTGTATGTTCTGCTTGGAGATGTTAGTTTTTGCTTAATTTACCTATGTTTCTGTGTGTGTGTTCTGTTCACACACACACTAATACAAATGCACACCTAGGCAAGCCCCACACAAGCTTCAACTACACGGTTGAAATACACCATTCGGACAACATCTCGTCTCTGGATCCTGATTCTTTAACTCGAATCAATGTTCATATTGAACAGCAGGAAAAGTTTCCTCCGTAACAGGAAATGTCATTAGTTCTGCAGGTATTTGGTCAAAACCAAAGAATTAGACAACTTTAAACGGTGACCTGAGCAGTAAATGAAAATTCAGACACCAATGTTATAGTCATTTATTTGTTTAGTTATAGCTACAGTTCATCTTCATCACACAATCAATATCCAGGTTAATTTATCAGGTGATTAATAAAATGATTACTTAACTCTGCAGGAAGACACCCTCCTGTTTCCACGAGAACAGCTCCACTCAGAGAAGATGGCGAGGGATTGGACCAACCGTTTGATGGTGTCATTGCTGATGTCACCACCGAGCATCATTTCTAAACTAAATAAAATTACAACTCTGTGTCTCATTTTTCAATAAAGTAAAAACAAAATCAGCTGTCAGTTAGAAAAGACTGTTGCCGCCACGGCCTGATTTTAATTGCTGCTTTGATGCTTTTACTTTTGTTTTATCGATTGTTTTTGGTTTAATAGTTGTGATCTTTGATCACATGAACCTTAAGACTAGGGCGACTAGTGGTAGGATCTGAAACACCAACATCTTAATATTTATATATTTACCCTTAAGTAAATGTGTTAATCAATAATGGTTGTATTAAAATATATGTCTAACATCAGAATCAGGAAGTTGCTACATTTCCTTCAAAGATGTGTAGATAAATGAAAGTTTTAGGAGACAGAGGCAACCATCTAACATTGGAAGCAGCAGTGATCATCTCTCAACATTTAGACTGAAACACACGTCCAGCAGATTGGACTCACCCAGCACCCTCTGGACTGATGGTCCCTCCTTCTGCCGCTGAAATAAACACCTTCTCACTCCCAACTCGTCATATGGATGTTTGGTCAAGACCCCTTGGCATCGCTTTTTCATGGCCTGGGTACCCCTTTAGTGCCGTTTTTGTACGGCGCCGTGTTCATGTTAACAATAAAAATGCAACATCTGGTCAAGTTAACAATAAAACTGAAACAGAAAATTCTTACTTCAATACAAACATTCAAAATTACTTTCTGTTTAACACAGGAAGTGTCTCCTGTCTCCTGTGTGAAAGTCCACCCAACTACCTCGTTACTCTGACTTTTCTAGTAAATATCGCACACCTACCTGTAGCGTTGCAATATGTCACGACATGGCTTCTCCCAGTGCGTTGACCTATGATGCTAAGGGGCTCCCCAGAGTGTTACAAACTGATGCTCTTGACCATACATCCATATGTGAGTGAGTGAGAACGTGTTGCAGAAATAAGATCAACAGCAGTTTGACAGCCATAAAAGCCTCCTCCCTCCTTCCTCTTTGTATACCACCACGTGTCAGGTTGTCTGTACGGTTTTCCCTACAGCAGCTATGAGGAAACTGTTTGGTATAAGAGAAGTAATGAACCTACAGACAAAACCACATGATCACATGGGAACAAAACACAGGCCACAACCGGGTTTGACAGATTTGAATCTTGGAGGGCGTTATTCTCATAAAACTGAAGGCAGGGGAAGACACTCAAGAGGGAGGAGGCACAACAAGGCACAGTCAGGGAAATTCAACACTCACAAGGAAGCAAAGCTAGACAAGACACAAGAGGCAGGAAATAAAGCCAACAACACACACAAGGACGAATGTATCAAAGAAAACAGAAAACACAGAACGTCTGCATATCTGATAAAACATGATCAAAGACAAAAGAACGAGAACACAGAGACAGGGAGTCATATACTAAAACAGGAATTGCGTAAACCATGACATTTATAAATAGCAACTGCTTTGACAATGATGTAAGACAAAATACAACTTGGAGATATTTATCTGCAGAAGCCTGGCGACCACAAAGCTCCTTGCTTCTATTAACACAAGTTCACACATTTCACCACAAGGCTAAAAACTAACAGACACGTCATCGTCACCACTGTCGTATCAAACCACCAACTCCACACCACAGTTCACTGCAATCAACAGGAGGAAGCTGCTGATGTGGTTTTATGTGCAGAGTGAAAATACACTAAATGATCAATGTTATAAAATCTTACTTTAATCTAGGACACACGTTCATATTCTGTATGTAAACTCTAATGTTTCTAAAAGTACAAGTCTGGTGATATTCTGTTGTTTTCTACATGCAAAGACTCTAACCAGCTGATAATGTTTTTCCTAACAAGTCCTGTGTCCTTGGTCACTTTTAGACGTTTGAGGCTCCACAGTCAAGTTAGCAACGTTTAGCAACAACAAATATGCAACGTCCTGTGAATCACTGTATGTGATGTCATCTGTGATGTCATCATCCCCAACTTCTACTTCAGCAGCTGAATGAACCAAAAGGAGCAGAAATTTAAATCAGTGTTAATCTTGAATGAGAAATCCTTTATTTTCAGAAAAATGGAAATTTGTACATCTACAGTTCCAAATGTGTATAACAGCGGTGTAAATTAATGAGAATCCTACTGCAAAATTTCACATTATGTGTACTCTCCAGAAGTGTTAATAGAAAAGTAAATAGCAAGAGTAAAAAGTGACTTTTAATGTGAACTGCAGCAAGTGGCTGTAAATAAAAAATATGAAACACAATTAGTCTTTTTTTCTTGTCTGAGTCTGTATCTAACATAGAGGTTTCCTACAGATGCATCGTCTCACCAGTAGAAGCAGGAGAACCAGGAGAAACAGCACAATTAAAACACATAAAGATATAATCGGAGACCACACCACAAATTCAAGAGCAGAGGAGGAACCAGGAGGAGAGGTGGTTGGAGGATGACTCGTGTTGGTTTTCTGCACTGAAATAAAAATAAATGGATGAGACATTCAACAGTATGCTAAGAGAAAGACACACAGAAGTGAATTCATAATCTCTGTCCATGTTGGTTTTAGCCTGGCATCAACACTTCATATTTGATTTCCAAGGTTATCAACGGACGCAGAACAAAACAGATTTCACAGTGCAGATAGCAAAGTTAGAAATGTTGTCACATCATGAATCGTCTCTGCTGTCCTGAAACCTGCTGAACTCAATGTAGAAAACAAAAACAGGTCAGTTTGAGAATTATCTTTGAGCTCCTCACCTGTGACAGAGATCCAGCTGGATGGAGACTCTCCACGACCGCTGATGTTACACTTGTAGAGGCCTTCATCAGACTTGTTAACATGGTGGATGGTCATGTGACCTGTAGGCTCAGTCCTGATGAGGGAGCCATCTTTATAGAAACCAGCTGGGAGGTCGGAGGGAGGGGTCTTTGTTTTACAGTGCAGAGTGACATCATGTCCCTCCATCACAGGGAGGACAGGACTCTGCAGGATCACTGGTCCACCTCAACACAGAGACAAACTACAGCATTTCATCATTTACACACAGCTTCATCAACACTAACTCCACAGTCTGATCTTACCAGTGACAGTGATGTTGATGGTGTTACTGGTTGTTCCCTCTCTGGACTCACACCAGTAAACTCCACTGTCCCATGGGACGATGTAGCTGATGTTACAGGAAGAACCAGCTGATCTTCCCCAGCCAGCTCCACAATGAGTCCTGGTTTCTCTGGTTGTGTTCCTCCTCAGCGTCCATCCAGCAGAGCTGTCGTCCTCCTCACAGCTCAGAGAGACAGACTGTCCTTCAAACAGCTGAGAGCTGCTGGGACTCACAGTCAGAGAGGCTGGAGGGTTGACATGACACACTGATGATCTTTAGCATGTTTGTCCAAACTAAATAACCTTTCAAGTGCAATAAAGCAGAAACCCAGAAACCAAAACCTGAACCTGAAGCAGCCTCTGTGATGTTTTCATAACAGCTCGTTCCTTCATTTGCAGACAGTTAAGACTCAAAGATGTTTCATGTTGTAAATCATGAACCAACGCTGCTTCCTAAAACGTACATTCACGCAGCGCTGATGTGAAACAGAGAAACAAAATGCTGCAGGGTCACATTTTCATCAACATGATGAACAAACATTTTTCCATTGTCAGTGTGTTTCTTTTGTGTTCCTACATGATCTGCGAGTGGCAGCTGCAGCAGGTTGAACTGTTTTTTGTGTTCTTTTTCAGCAGCTCTCAGTAAAGATGGTGGTTTCATTAAAGAGTAACTTCACTTCAGACTGAAAGGCTTTGTTTCACTCAGCATCACTGACTGCTGTAGTCACAAGTCATATTTTCATGCACCTTGGAGACTTTGGCGTGGATTGGACGTATTCAGAAGAAAACACCAGAGTGATTTTGATTTTTTGTGACTTTAATTTCAGGGAAATTTGCCACTTTCACCTAGGAATTTTTTCTCAGTTTATTAACCCTCACATTGGATCTGTATTTTATGAACGAAATGCTGTTGTGTTAAGAATAACTTCATTTCAGCTGAAACTGCGGTGGAACAAGTCAGGAGGAACTCTAACAATATTTTACAGTGGTGCGTATTAATATCCTACTTAGTACAGATGTCGTGTAGCTCACGTTTACAGGGTAACCTCAAGTTAATCTGGATAAGCCAGTTACCCCGCTTTGTAGTACAGGCCACTGGTGTACAGTGAGAGTTTGCAGTGTGAGGAACCCAGTTGGAACTGAGTCGTGAAAAGTGAGTCTGCTGGGATGAAAAGCCTCTCAGGTCCTGTTATTAAGAGACTAACTGATCTGTGAATGTAGAAACATCTTCACTGATCATCCTGATTTCCCAGCTGTGTCCTCAACACTGACTTTTCTGTCAGGGTTTGTGAGACAGTGAGTTTCAGACGCTGGCAGAAGGAGTTCACTCACCTTGGTTTGTTGTGCAGCACAGCAGTGAGGTCAGAACTAAAGAGAAATCACACTCAGGTTGGTTTGAGGTTTTACTGCAGACACAACAACTGTACACCTCAGAGAAGATGGAGACCCTGATCCTCACTGAACACTCACAGTATCTTCCAGCTTTAACATCACTGTGTGTTTCTGTCTTTGTCCCTTTAACATTTTAAAGCTGGTTTCACTTCCTGCTCTAAAAGGTTGTATCAGAGTGAAGTAAGAACAAAGTCTGAACAAACTGTTAAACAATGATCTTCTTTCCTTTTTGCTCGTCACATTCTCTGTAATTTCAGTAACTTCTGACTCTCTCTGTTCTTTATTGATTGTTTTGGCCTCACTGATCAAAAAAACTCTTCTGTCTTTGTTTTTATAATGTCTGAAGTTTTCCAGCCAGTTTGATCCTGTATCTCACCTTCATTCTTCTCCAGCTCAGCTCACCTGCTAACTGTGAAGTTACTGAAATGTGGACAGAACAGATCGTACTTACAGATCGGCCATTGAAGAGATGTTTGTCCCATCGTACCACTTGGTGATATGAGATCACACTTTGTGTTTTTTTCTCTCAGAGCAGTTCAAACCACAGTTTCCCGTTTCTACTTTACTGTCCGGTCTCCTCTGCTGCAGTTGTCAGGAAACTTACTCACGCTGTTAGTTTATAATCGCAGCGATGGGCATTATTGATAATGATGAAATACTTTTATTGAGGATCACCAGAGTTATTACACTTCATCTTGACGGGATTGGCTACAGCCCCCCACAACCCTGTACGCAGGATAAGCGTTTGACGATGGCTGGATGGATTCTAAGTTTTCAGTCAGGAGAGTTTGTGAGCTTTAAGGCCTGGACACTGAAAGTGCAGTTTTCTATATATATTTAGAGAATGAAATGAAGACTTTTGACCAGGATGCTAAATTAAGGGAAAAACGCAGATGCTTCGTGCTCCAGGGCTCACTGAACTGTTTGGTCAGGATGAAAATGATAATAAAATGCTGCAGCCTTCACAGTCACCAGACATCAACCCAGTTTAACACCTGTGGAAAATTTTAGGGCAACGTGTGAGACAAAGCTCAGCACCACCATCTCCATAAGACCAGATGATGGAATATAAACCCTCATCTTCTGATCTATATGGTGATGTCTGTGAGGCTGTGTGCTTTTGTTCTGTCAGGCTGTGTTTGTGTTTCTCTGCTGTACTCAGGTCTCTCTTGATCTAGATGACCTGAAATAAAGGTGGTGTTTATAGAAGAGGGAATATCTTCTGTATGAATGGTGTTCAACCCTCCAACAAGGAGCCCTGAAACTTTTGTGGAGGATCGTAGTGGCCTGACTTCATGCTAAGACAGCAGGTAACCAGGAAGAAGATGAAATAGGACTCAGAGGCAGAGCTGGTGCAGTACGAAGATTTAATGAACAAATCAAAGTTACTAAAGGCTTATAGGATGGGGAGGAAGGCAAAGATTAAAACCAGAGGAGGGCAGTCCAACAAATCCAATTAACTGTCTTGGTCCAGAAAAGCTAAACAACGATCCAAAAACACTGGGACAAGTAAACACTAGGGAAAAGGCTGGGACGCTGATCATCTGGAGTCCAGGCTTAGATGCAGACTAAAGAGAAATCTGGAGGCTGGAGGGGTGAAAGGCTAAAATGAGCAGAAGGGAGTTTATCAAAATAAAACAGGAAACAAAGAAAAACATCACCTAGGGAGCAGAAGCTGGACGCTGTACCACGAAGCAGTATTTGAGCTTTTCGAGGTTACTTCGGGGTTAATCCTGGGTTTTCATTACCATGACTGTTGTTCACTTACTGGTGTAGTGTAACACGCCGCCTACTGACCAATCAGCTCTCTTGGAAAATGACATCACCATCTATAGAAAATCCCACAGACTGTTTTAAAGGCTGCTTTATGTTTGCTGTGGTGATACGGAGAAACTCTTGTAGGCTATAGCGATGTCATCCTACAGAGACTGATCGAAAGCCTTACTGCTTTGAAATGTGTTAATTTTTTATTTGCTCCCAGTCCGTTTCACACAGCCCATCTCAGCTGTTAAAATAAATGGGTTTCATTTCTCTTATGAGGCTGAATATCATGAGCAGTTTGGTAGGGATATTGAAATAAATTTTAATATGAACATAGGTTGTTTATTTTAAGTTAGTAGCTATCTTAAATCACAGAGACTATATGCTGCTCTGAAGCCAGTGAACTTGTTCATGTCTATAATTGGTGATCTGAACGCGCTCCAGGCTGGATTGGGAAACCCCGGGGTTGAGTTACCGAGTTGATAACCAGCTTCGTGGTACCGCTTATCCTAATCACAATTGTTAGGGTTAGTGAAGCCAGATAACAAAAAAGTTTTTGTGATTCTGGGTATGTTTAACTCGCTTTGTGGTACAGGCCCCAGGAGACAGAAAGAAACTGAGGAGCAGATACTCACAGTTATGACTCCATACCAACACTTTATTTAATTTGCCCGTCTGTATAGCATTTCACAGTTCTTGACATTTTAGGCCAATAAGCAAATAAAAAAAATTCTTTCTTCAAACACCACTGATGTAAATGATAAAAGACCAAATATAACTGGAGGGGATTTCTCAGGAAGCTGGATAACCACAAAGTTGCTTCTGTTAAAAACAAGTTTACACATTTCAGCAAAAACACATCACCATCAGCTACAGCAGAGCACACTTTAGTGAGCAACCAACTTTTTCACACCACAGCAGTAGATGCCAAGTACCAATGTAAGTCGCTTTGGATAAAAGCGTCCGCCAAATGATTAAATGTAAGTGCCATGGAAGCGTTCCAGGAAGAAGCTGAAATGATCATCCTCCAGTAGCCTCACAAACCCTCCAGCTTCTCGCATAGTGGTAGGATCAAACTCGACTGAGTCAATGATGGAGTCCAGCTTTTTTTCCTCACAATATTTCAATCTGCTCTGTACACGGTCTCTCCCCTACATCTTACATAAGTACAGCGCAGTAGTTCAGCTAATAGCAAAATGCCTCAAACGAAAGCTGTTGGCCTGTAGCATAGTGCTGTATTTGATACCATTGACCATCATATCCCATTACAGAGACTGGAACATTTCATTGGCATTAAAGGAACCTCCATGCTCGGCAAAGTTAGTCATGGAGTTCAACAAGGATCTGTGATCAGACCAATCCTCTTTGCTTTATATATGCTTCCATATGGCATTATTATCAGGAAACACTCTATAAACTTTCATTGTTATGCAGATGATACTCAGTTATATCTATCGATCAAGCCAGATGAAACTACTCAGTTAGCAAAACTCAAAATGTGCCTTTAGGATGTTAAAACCTGGATAACCTGTAATTTTCTGATGTTAAACTCAGAGAAAACTGAAGTTATTGTTCTGGGGCCCAAGCACCTCCGTCACGCATTATCAAAAGATATTCTCTGGATGGCATCGCCCTGGCCTCCAGCACCACTGTGAGGAATCTTGGAGTTATCCTTGATCAGGACATGTCGTTTTTTCACCTACGTAATATTGCAGAAATCAGGAACATCGTGTCTAAAAATTATACAGAAAAACTAGTCCATTCATTTGTTACTGCTAGGCTGGATTACTGCAATTCTTCATTATCAGGCTGCTCGAAAAAGTCAATTAAGACTCTTCAGCTGACCCAGAATGCTGCTGCACGTGTTCTGACAGGAACCAGGAAAAGAGATCATATTTCTCCTGTCTTAGCTTCTCTACATTGGCTTCCTGTAAAATTCAGAATAGATTTTAAAATCCTTCTTCTCACATGTATGATGTGTAATAATAACTTTGATTTATATAAGCGCCTTTCACAAACCCAAGGACGCTTAACAAACAAAGCGCACCAAAGGCAGGCATCTTATCCATTGCGCCATCGCCATCCCGTTATGGATATTCTATTGCATATCAGTCAATAAATCCTCAGAAATATTACACACTGAACTTTTAAGTGAGTGATCAACAAAATACTTAGGAAAATAATCCTTTGTTGCAGCAATGGTTGAGTAGTGCTAGAAATATTTTCTTCTTTGTGAGAGTAAAAAAGTATGAAATTAATGTGTATGCTCTGTATTTGTATAGCGCCTTTTTAGTCTTTGCAACCACTTAAAGTGCTTTTACACTACAACCGTCGTACCCACGATAATATGCTCACTGTTAAAAATATAGAGCCACTGTTTTTAATCAGGTTGTAGAGATACTCAGAATAAAACAACATACCTATCAGGGCAGGAGGAGGAAACAGCTTGAAAAATGTTTATAACGAAGCAGCGTGACTGCGTTGGTGCCGTTTAAGGTTACAACTATGGGCAAAAGCCTTACCACAGTGGTCACACGTGTAACGTTTCTCTCCAGTGTGAACACGTGTGTGAGATTGTAGGCCACCTGATGACGTAAAAGCTTTCCCACACTGCTCACACCAATACGGTTTTTCTCCAGTGTGAAGACGTGTGTGAGTTTCTAAGCCACTTGATTGACTGAAACCTTTCCCACACTGCTCACATCGGTACGGCTTCTCCCCAGTATGAACACGTCTGTGCTTTTCTAGGCCATCTAATGTCGTACAAGCTTTCCCACACTGCTTACAGCAGTACGGTTTCTCCCCAGTGTGAACACGCCGGTGGGTTTGCAGTTCACTTGATGTAGTGAAAGCTTTCATGCATTGCTCACAGTCGAATGGTTTTATTCCAGCATGAAATCGTTGGTGGATTTTTAGGTCACCTGATCGACTGAACGCTTTCCCACACAGGTCACAGCTGTACGGTCGCTCTCCAGTGTGAATTCGTCTATGAATTTCCAGGTTACCTAACGTGGCGAAAGCTTTCCCACACTGGTCACAGCTATATGGTTTCTCTCCAGTGTGAACACGTTGGTGCCTCAGTAGCTCACATGATGTATTGAAAGCTTTCCCACACTGGTCACAGCTGTACGGTCTCTCTCCAGTGTGAACACGTCTGTGCTTTTGTAGGTAATATGATGTAGCGAAAGCCTTCCCACAATAGTCACAGCTGTACGGTTTCTCTCCAGTGTGAGCTCGTGTGTGAGTTTCCAGGTTACCTGAGGTGGAGAAAGCTTTCCCACACTGGTCACAGTTATACGGTTTCTCTTTAGTGTGAGCACTTCGGTGTCTTTGTAGGCCACGTAATGTAGTGAAAGTTTTCCCACACAGGTCACAGCTGTACAGTTTCTCTCCAGTGTGAAGTCTCTGATGAATCTTTAAATATCCGGATGTTGTGAAGGATTTGTCACATTGCTGACAGTGGTGATGTTTGAGTCCTTCTCTTCCTCTCCGTTTCTATAGCAAAAGACATACATACAGAGAAAGTAAGTGAGATGTCATGATGGAGCGAGCTATCAAGAACCATAAATGAGCGTGTCTGAAACATAACCCTCACACAAGTATGAGGATTTTAACATGTGCGATAAAAACATTGCAAAAGCGATGGGCACCAAAACGCACTATTAAACAAGACCCTAAAGAACATACCATTTATCACCAGGGCGTCTGCAGACCAACACTATATTGCCGAAAGTTTTGGGTTGGATGCCTTTACATGCATAAATAAGTTAATGACGTCCCATTCTTAATCTGAGGGTTTAATATGGAATTGGCCCACCCTTTGCAGCTATAACAATTTCAACTCTTCTGGGAAGGCCGTCCACGAGGTTTAGGAGTTCCACCAGTGAATGAATGTGTGTGAATGGTGAAAAGACTAGTAAGGCGCTATACAAATACGGGGCGTTTACATTGCCATGGAAACCCATTCCATGCGCGGCGGCGCTGCAGGAGAGAGAACGATACGTCTGTGGTCTGGATTCTCTTCTGCCACTGGTTAACCCTATAATCAATGGCAGGCCAAAGCAGCCTACCGACAAACAATCAGCTACTTCAATCTCCACAGCGTCTTTTTGTTTACAGTGTTATGTCGGTCAAGACAATAGGCTTCAAGAATGGACCAGTGAGTAAACAATATGTGCAGGTAGTACTCATGGGAGTTGCAGTGTCACATTACAATTCGTTTGTTATTTCAGATGCATGTTGACAAGTCTACAAATTTTCAACACGCCAAAGTGACTAATGGGACTGACTGTATTCCCACCACGCCTGAAATCCACCCGTATTTGGCGGTGTGGTGGGTGTTAATGTCAAGCCCCGTCTGTAGCTATTGACTACACAGAAAGATGCCACTTCGTGGCTGAGTTTCTGTTGTTCCCAATCACTTCCACTTTGTTACAATACCACCAACAGTTGACCGTGGAATATTTAGTAGTGAGAACATTTCACAAATTAACTTATTGCACAGGTAGCAACTTATCACGGTACCACGCTTGAATTCACTGAGCTCCAGAGAGCAAATGACTCTTTCTTTTTGTATAAGCAGTCTGCATGCCAAGGTGCTTGATTTTATACACCTGTGGCCACGGAAGAGTTTGGAACACCTGAGGTAAATGATTCGGAGGGGTGTCCTAAAAATTTTGGCCATATAGTGAGTGAGTATCACAACATCAAAAAAAGAAATCGTACAAAGCCAATGCAGCAACAAAGTTACTTGCAGAGTAAATAACTGTATTGAAATGTAACGGTACTGAACACAGATTAGATGCATTGCTGAAGAGCCACATACAAACATGTTCGCGTGAGTTTGTGAAAGCGTGAGAGAGTGTGTGCGCACACAACACATTAAGCTGCACTGTTGGTTTTTTTTGTGAGCAAACAAATTTGGGTGGGGGGTTTGGTGGTCATCCGAAGAAATTTATGTTTTCCAATACAGATATATGCAATTCCATGTAATTTTGGGTACCACATCTGTGAATAAAAAGTTTAATAAATTACACCCCCAAAGCTAAATTTGCTGAAGAAGTCTACTGGGTAGGAATTGTAACCATTAGATCTGGGAAAATTCTTGGTTAGTTTTGATGTTCTCCACAATGATTTTACATTCATGGCACAGCACCAAGCAGTTGTGAGCCTCACCACCTTATAGTGGCAGGGAAAACACTCAATCTGAACTAATTTCAGATGGGATTTTTCCAGGTTTGCCTTTAGTGTCTTAATTTACTGATTTTTACATTTGCAGAAATAACGCTTTTTGTGACAAAGTATGTGCTTCAATTCCAACAGAGAAGATGAAGAAGAGTTGTAGTAAATATTGGAAACTGAAAATGCCATGACATAGATGTTCTTTACAAGTGTATGTAAACTTTTGACCACAACTTTACGTGCAATAAAACCATTGTGAGTATAAAGCCAATACTTAGTTAATGCACCTGTTCACAAGCGTAAACATGTAGAAAGCATGTGTATGTTTCACACTAGCACAGCAGCTCAGCTAACAGCGAAATGTCTGAAACAAAAGCTGTTTGTCTGTAGCATAGACTGTATAAAAAGTGAACAAAGCCGCCATGACGTTGCCCATTGTTTAAGGATGATCGTTTTAAACAGGGGTGTGACGGGATCACGATATTAAAATGTGCTAATATTTCTCGTCGTTTTAAGAGTCTATAAGAGCTTTTTAACACCATGAATTTTAATACCAACTTTACTGCTGTATCATGAAAAATCAGTATGAATTTTAAGCCTGAGAAAATTATTTACAAAGTTATGAGTTTAATAAAATATTATAATACATTAATATTTAACACATTATAGCTTTTTTGGGGTGTGTTTGTACTTTGATATGAATCAAGAACATCACTTTGTGTTGAAAAGTGGTGGGAACATAGGAGTTCAAATTAGGGGTATGACGATGCACGTAGTTGCACGATTTACAATACTGGGTTCACGAGAACAAGACAAGAAGATATTTTAACACTATTTTGATGAAATATTCAATGCTACTTAATTTCCTGCATTCTGGAGACATTTTCTGCACCAATTTATGGCAGAATTGTCTTTATTCATGTAAAGTGATTGAGGTGATAATTCAAACAGAATATAATGAAGTACTCAGCAGCTTGTTTTTTTAGCTTAAGAAACTTTTTTTGGACAATGCACATTTGTTTCTTCTATAAATTGCATTGCATGTTTTCTTATTGTGTAAATAAACCTTTCTCTAAGTATTTCCATTTGTTTTTAACATTTTTCAGAACATATTTAACAAATGCTTTAAAAAAAAAAAAAAAAAAAAAGTGATGGAGACATGTCTCCAGTATCCCCAGCGCAAATTACACCTATGAAATGAATCAAATATTTCTGCACTAAGGGGTGAAATCAAAAATACTAACGAATTGTGCAGTATGAGTTGTTACAATCAGTTAAACCTTGGCTAGATAAGGTAATGTAATTTAATGTGATTATTCATCCTGTTCGGTTTATGCATCTAAAGGCTGCTTGAAATATAGTATTGGCTTGAACGCAGCATGGATAAGGAGTTCGGCTGATCCCGGTGATCGGCACATCTGGGTGAGTTAAAGTGCGTTAGCATGTCAGATGGTTCCATTCACATAACGTTACGACACACAGACACGGTCCTCTTACACAACTCTCTCTCCGTTGCTGTTGTAACATTCACTGACCAGGAACCTGCAGGCGGGTCTTCCAGCTCCACTGTTTAATTAGTGCTCGCCATAGTGTCCTCGGCCTCAACCACCACTTGTCCGTGTCTCTGGCTTTCTGAACTTAAGAAACTTTCCCATTCTCAGGCGATAAGCTGGTGTTAGCTTGTTAGTAGCCTGTCAGAGACGTTTTGTAGCTTGGATGCCGGAGCTCATGCACCGCAAGCACTCAACAGTCCTGAGCGTAAAGCAGGAACATTACCTGTCCTGCCGTATAACATCAGAGTCACACTAAACGGAGTAAATTATACAGTCACACACACACACACACACACACGTGTTTATGACGTTACGGCATTTATTTAATTCTACGAAAGGACAAGAACAAATTTAAGACCTTGGTAAACGAAATTTAATACTTATAAGGCCTTATTTTTGGAATAGGAAATTTAAGACTTTAAGAATTTTAAAGACCCCGAGGGTACCCAGTACCTATGATATTTACTGGGATGCAAATTTTGGCTCGTCACAAACAGGCTTAAGGCAAAATGTACTTACTGAAAAAAATAAAATAAATCACCATTCTGTCCATTATCCTCTAAATGGAACCATAATTTACTAAAATAAACATTGTGCTGTCTTCAAGTTAATAATTTAAATATGTAGTTAAACAAGTTAAAGCATTAAATCAAAGGTAATGTAAGGCACTACAGGTGAATAGGGTAAAAATAATTTCAAGAACCACCAGAGGGAGCTCTGCAGCTCCCCTGTTAACTGCACTGCCTCACCACAAAAGAAAACAAGCAGCTGACTGGGATGTACCGGAGCATGTGGAGACAACACAGAGAGTGGCCATCACGTTAATTACATGACTTAAATAATAATAATAATAATGAAATCTAAAGAAGGTTAAAGTCAAAGGCATCTGGACTTGGTTGAAGATACTAGAAGATGTTTTGTCCCTCATCCAAAGGACTTCTTCAGTTCTGAAATGACCAGAAGGGAAACTCAGTTATTTAACCTCTGTGCGGTCGTTTGCCAAGATCATCAATACCGCTGGTTCATTAGTGCATCCATCCACCTCACAGGTGTGGCATATCAAGATGCTGATCAGACAGCATGGGTATTACGGGTCTTAATCCCTGGTCCCGCTTAATACTGCGTTTTGGTCCCTCATCCAAAGGACTTTCTGACTGACTGGCAGGGAAACTCAGCTATTTAACCTCAGTGGGGTCTTCAGGATTGTTGATACCGCTGGTTCGTTAGTGTTCCTGGTTGCTGTAACGACAGTCGTTAAAGTCGTTAGGACTACCGGTGGCCAAGACTGAACGACCATCGTTGGTATCTTCACCTGAGGCCAATAGGTTACGTTTGTTGAGTTTCCTGGGAAGTGATGAAAGGACAGCATTGTAAGTGGGGGATAAGTGGTGGCGTAGACCCCCTCCTCTGTTCAATGACGGCTTCTCAACCCTGGTGTAGATGCTTCCTTGACCCCTCTTTCAAACCATCCATCTTCTCTGTCTAAAATGTGCACCTGGTGGTCCTCAAACGCGTGTCCTCTGTCCTTCAGATGTAAGTAGATTGCAGAGTCTAAGTACTAACTCGCCAATAATCATCCATGCAGAACAACGAGTTCAACATTTTAAAAGTTTACTGTGGCGCAACAAACTTTTTAGTGTCCCGCCTCATCCAGACTGTGATTAATCGATTCACGAAAAGTTATTGTGACAGCCTCTTCATAATCACGGCTGCACCCAAACCTCCACCCTGCTCTGTCTTCACCGACAGAGATTAGCAGAC